ATGGAGGCAGGGTTGGAATGAAATTCTTTTCCAGTTTTTAGTTTGAGGCGCCATGTTCCCTTCATCGTGTCATGTTGTCTAGAAATAGTGAATAAACGCAATCATATTTCCACATTAGCAGCTGGGTGGCACGTTTTCACAGCAGCCTTAGGTAGTGACTCATTGGGTAAGCCAAGCTGCTCACTTGTACACTGTGCTCCTAAATTGAAGCCAACACAATGCTCTCTCCACTTCATAAACATTTCTTTATCAAACCTTTTACCTATGGCTCACTGTGGGTCCTTTTACACAGTCACCGAAGTTTGTGTATCCCTGGCTTGGTGGACTTGGTTCCCAAAGGCAAGGCTTACTTTCCATTCTTCTTTTATTGCTCTTAGAAAAACATGGGAGGTGTTTGTTTTGTCAGCACTGGCTAGAAGATGGGGTGCCCTGGGAAATTTGGAAGTATGGTGTTCAGTGCTGAGCTGGCGGTATTTTATGAAGATCTGTTTATTTAGACAGTGTTCCCCCAAGTCTGACAAGATGCCCACTGCTTTGCTTGCTGTTTGTGAGGTTTGTTCTCCAATGGGGTTGTTACTCTTAGGTCCTCAGGGTTCCTAAGGTTTCACAAGACAGAGGTTTGCAGGCTCTCAGGGGATACAGCTGGGCCCACTACAGATCAATGCAATAGAAGCCAAGACTGTCCTACCTACTAACAGTGACATGTTTCAACCCTGTTATTAACATTTCCTGGGTTTCCAGTGTCCTTCATGGATGGGATCCCCATGACACTTGTTAAGCATGCAGATTTGGAGTCAATGGCAGGACCTAGGGTGACTGAACTGTGCTGGCATGATGGGGACTATCAGATATTGGGACATACTAGGATGTTTAGTGTCTTTGGATATGGTGGAAGTTGCCAGCAATCCCAAGTCTTGTGTCCCCTTGGCATGGGCTGTGTGTCCTGGCCCCCATTTCATCCCATTGAGATAGTCTGCATTGCAGGCATTGCCAGGCGTTTGTGCACAATGGCACCTGTCTCTGGAGGCTGTGATGGGGCCCTGACACCTTGTCTCCTGCCCTCTACGGCTCCATCTTCCTTATGCTGTGGTCACTCCTTGCCTTGATAATTTCCCCCCCCCCCCCCCCTTTCCTCATGGATGGTTTTGCATGGTTCCTTCTCTGACTCTATTACCGGGCTACCCATTAGTGAGTTCCCGCTTTTCCACAGGCTGTGCTATTCCCACAGCCCCAGCTACTGCCCCCCTTGGCACAGTCCAGATCCCAAATTCGGTCTCTTTGTGCTTGTCTGTGTGGCTTTCTCCATCTCTACCCTGCTTGTCTCCTTTGTTATGTTCCCACAACCCAGGTCTCACACACTAGGAACCATGTGCTTTTCCTGTCTTAGGACAGACATTTCACATTAGTTTTCTAGGGAAAGGCATGTGTTGCCTTATTGCAACTGATGAAAAGAGACAAAACTAATTGGCAGTTTTTCTTTGTAGTGTAGTGGTGAGGGTTGCCAATGCCAATGTCAGTCCTGGCCACAGCTTATTCTATATTCCACCAGGGCTCTATTAGCTGAGCCTGTACCTCTCTCCCTTTACCATATGAACCATAGAGAGGAGTGCATTCTTGATCCTGTTGTACCATATATGAAGAAAAGGTCCTCACTGTTTCCATGGAGTGGTCTGCCTGTCTAGATCTTTCTGCTGAGGTCAGAGAGAGGGGGAGGGGATGGATGAGAATAGTCAAACGCTTTGCTCTCAGAGCTGAGGGGTTGGTGTGCATGATTACTTGCAGTTGGAAGTAATCTTTGGTGGATGAAGAGCTGGGCAATGAGCAGAACATGGTGGTACCAAGAGATCAAGCTATGTGAGTGACTGTAAGCTATTCACAGTGATGGTAGGTTACCCATCATTCCCAGTACCTATTCTCCATTTCCATATAACAGGGTTTGAGCTATGTGAGTGATAGTTTATTCACAGTGATGGTAGGTTACCCATCATCCCCAGTACCTATTCTCCATTTTCATATAAATCTATACAGGGTACATTTGCATTCTGGACAGGTTAGCACCCTGACCACTCACTTCGTAGACTCCCTCCAAGAGAGACAGGTGGCAGTCACTCATTGGGCAACTGAATCTCTGAACTCTGGCTAATGCTGCCAGGAGTCAAGAGGAGGGAAGTGCTAACCTTCCAGAAGCCTCTACAAGGTTTCATAATACAGGTTAAGCCAAGTCTGACTGTCAATAGGAAGAAATATTTCAGAGTAGCCCATCAAGGCTTAACTTGTACTTCACTGAGTTGAGCAATTCTGTCTCCAAGGTGAGCAGCAGCCAGGCTGGGTACTTGACTCCACATTTGTCAGTATCCACGGAGTCATTGGTGCTCTTGGAGATCATAGATGGAAAAGAGGAGATCTGGGGACATGAGGCTACATCAAAGCTACAGTAACACCTATACCACCTCAAAGTCCCCAAGTGAGAAGTGTGCTGAAAATGAATATCTCTGTTCTTTAGTAGAAAATAAGTTATGAAGAACTCGGGAATATGTTATGTATTCAAGTTGCCCAACACCCCAGATATCACCTCTTTCAGTTCTGTTTTAGTGGGAACATCAAGTCTTTCTATGAAGGAAACTTTTGGATAAGGTTCAGGGACAAACAGCAAAAAGCTGTTGCCCTGGTCTTCACTTTGTATGCAGATAGCGGAGAGTTTGGTTTCATCATCAAATTACCAAATACAAGTGCTGAATAGATAACCACACATAGGTGCTCATAATGTCTAACACACACACACACACACACACACACACACACACACACACACCACATATGTAAAGAACAATGAAATTCAGGCTGTCAAGAGCTCTGATGGGGTGGGATGCTGAAGACTGGGGTTAAAGTGTCTGGGGCCATTTCTTGTTGGGGATAACTCATAGTTCAGGCTGTGCTCCAGGCTGCAGCCCAGTGTCTGTGGCATCCACAGTGACATCAGTCTATTCTCGCACACTGCAGCACAGATAAAACACACAGAGCGTGTGTAGAGCAGAGGGTAAGGGTTTTCTCTCACAGAGCTGGAATTATTATGAACAATTTGATTTCCTAAGAGGAAAATTATAACTTCAAAAACAAAGCATGCTTTTCAGGATGAGTTCTTTTCGAAGACCTTATGTATTTCATTTTGCTATTAATTTTACTTTGGGCAAACTAAATGATGTTATGGATCTATTCTCAACACTCACTGCACATTATCATCTGCATTTTATCACCAAATTACAAATTAAATATTGCCTTTGTTGGGAAACGATTCCTACACAGCCCTGTTATATGACCTACTCAGTTTTTTCCTTGTATAGCTTTGATTTTTTTCTCATTAGAAGTAAAAAAAAATCAAATTTGTGTTCTATTGCCATATTTCATCTTTTGAGGGAGTTACATCCTGAGGAGATAATGCGTCAGTTTTGAGCCTTTTGTTTTCCCAAATCATAAAATGCAATGAGAGGTGAGAAGATGAACCTGTTAAGATGACTGGCGTGGCAGTTTGGGGTAGAGAATGAAGCTGATGTTCCTATTGCCTTAATAGTTCTATTTGGAACCCCACCCACCCAAAAGCAACTCTAACCAGAAGTTTTAGAAAACCTGGGAAGAGCTATCTTTAGAGACAAAGACTCCACGAACAATGGGCTTATCTAGGTGGGAATAACGTGCACACATGAAGAACATTCCAGAAGCTCTCCCTCTCCTTGTCTTCCTTCTCTCCCTTCTTGCCTCATCGTCACATGTTAGTACATCCCACAGACAGGACTGCTTGAGAAATGCTGGGGTATAGTGTGATCAGAAGGACATGACAACAACAAGGTGATTATCTGTAGCCGTGATGGTTGACACAGCAAGGCAGAGGGTAGCTGGATGGATGGGGAGATTCTGCTGGTCTCAGTGGAGGGTTCTACTGAGCAGTGACATAAGGTTGTCTGCCCAGTAGTGTGTTCTATCTCAGCAGCTGAGGAGAGGTTCTTGTGAGAAAGGGGAGATTGGAATGGTCAGGGCAGGGGAGGAAGGGATGCGGTAGCTTGCTATGGGAAGTCTAGTGTTATGGGAACTTGGAATCGTATTCCAAGTTGTCTAAAGATTTGTTACTCATATTGGTTTAATAAAACCAATATGCAGCCAGACAGGAAGTATCGTGGAGCTATCAGACTAGGAGAATTCTGGGAAGAGGAAAGGCAGAAACGGATTCATCAGTTAGACACAGAGGAAGCAAGCCGAGAATGCCTTACTGAGAAAAGGTGGCTAAACATAGATAAGAATTATAGGTTATTATAAGTTGTAAGTGCCTATTAGCAATAAGCCTGAACAGTAGGCCAAACAGTTTATAATTAATATAAGCCTTCGTGTGGCCATCTTTCCAGGCTGGAGAACATGTGGTATTATCTTTAGGGTCCTAGGAAGTTAGGACCATGTCACAACAAGAGTGGAATGGTAAGGTTTATTTGTGAAGAGATCACCTCATTGAGAGGTCCTAGAAGCCCCATCCTAGGCTTAGGGGTGTGAAATGTATGTGTGAGCAGGTGTGAGCTGCTTAGGTGATACTGGAAGGCAGCCTGTAGAGAATTCAGCTCCCAAGATGAAGGGATAGCAGGTGCATTTGGAATATAGCTTGTGAGTATGGGAAATGTGAAAGTTCTGGGACAGGAACATTTACAAAGGGAAGCTGGTGTAGGTTTCAGTCAGTGGAGAGCCTGAGAAAAGCCTGGGACAGTAAGAGTCCAGAAATGGCAGTGACTGAAGCTTCTTGACAACCACTACATGTGATCTATATGCCTTTGTATGTGTGTATATGTGTATTTGCACACAGAGAAAGACACATGTACAAAACTAGGAAGAAGAGGATCCAAGGAGAAGGAATTTGTTTCTATCAGACAAAGGAGCAACCAACAAATGAGATGTCATCATGGTTGGGATGATCTTGAAATGTTTGCCTAATCGTATTCCAAGTTGTCTTTTTTCTACCCCAGACATACAGGTGTAGGACACAAGGAGTGTTTGATGGAGCTTGGGAGCTTGGAAGCAAGAGCTAGGTAAATGCCTTGCTTGTGGTCCGGATGTCAGGCTAAGACCAGGCTACACTAGAGCGTTCCAAGAGGTAGGTGGCTTCATTCCTGAAGAGTGCTACCTAACTTGTGTCTTGCATTTTCTTGAATGTTGAAACAAACATATTTATTTCTCAGCAAAATATGGCCTTGTCCACTTCATTTGGAATTGTCTGGGGGAAGGAACGCTTTTTAATTGGAATGCAAACTAGTGTGATGTAGGGTGTTTTAAGTTCATTTTCAGTTACTCTGGATTAGTTAAAAATATTTCTTTTTCCTATTACTTTTAGTCATGTGGATGTGAACCTGGAACAATGACTGAGTGCCTTGGCCACCTGCTGTCCTCTGACATCTCTTTACTGGATGCAGTCATGTCCACCAGGGAGGAAACGTCCTAAAGAGAGTAAAGGAATCCCCATCTCTTTTCTGAAAGTCATGCTCCCTCTTTATTTCCAAACAGCAAACGACTTTTTGTTTTTGTTTTTCAGGATAGTGTTTCTCTGTGTATGGAGCCCTGGCTCTCTTTGAACTTGCTCTGTACATCAGGCTACTTTTGAACTCAGATCCACCCGACTCTATCTCCCAGGTGCTAAGATTAAAGGAATAAGACACCACTGACCCGCCCTTTTCAATGTCAGCAGTGTTGTTAGAATCTTCCTGTGCTTAAGATCCAAGAGTGGTGTGGGAACACCAGACCTTGAGCAGAGACCCACTTCCCCTTCTGCCTGGGAGTAGGCAGCTGTAAGACAATGTTTAGTAAAAACATGTTTACTAAAAACGATACAATAAGTTCCTGGCCACTTCCCCTTCTGCCTGGGAGTAGGCAGCTGTAAGACAATGTTTAGTAAAAACATGTTTACTAAAAATGATACAATAAGTTCCTGGGAAAGGCCTTCCCACAGAAACCGCCCTGACCTCGACCTTGTCCAAAGACTAACCGCACCTTCAAAAACCCACACACATCCACCTCTGGTGTCAGAGCAGAACCAGCCAGGGGAGAGGAGAGAGCAGAAGCTTCTCTGGTGGGAGCTTTTCTTAGGAAGTTTTTCTTAAACCTTTTTGGAGCCTGTTTAAAGTTCTCTTTATATCGTTGAACGAGTCTCTGTGTTGTCAATCCCCGACACCCTCCGCACGTTCTCGGACACAGGCCACGCAGCAGACGTGACAATTGGAGGTTCCACCGAGATCGTGAAAGCAAGGTAAGTGGACGGGGTCGTCCCTTTTGCCAGCCAGGGACAGATGGAGAAAAATAGAAAAAGAAACAATGGGAAATAGTCCCTGGAAGTTTAAATTACAGTATCACGTAAAAAAGTTACTTGAAGAACAGGGGACTACAACCATGGCAGGCTTTTTAAAATGGATTAAACGAGGGAGCCCATGGTTCATTACTGGGGAAGGCTTAAATGTCCCAGATTGGGAGGATGTTTACTATGATATTCAGAAAGCCGGGTGTTGGTGGCATATGCCTTTAATCCCAACACTCGGGACACAGAGATAGGAAGGAATGAGGCCATCCTGGTCTATAGAACAAGTTCCAGGACAGCCTCCAAAAGAATAGAAAAAAACCCAGTCTCAAAAAAAAAAAAAAGAAAAAAGAAAAGAAAAGAAAAAAAAGGGTAAAATAAAAAATAAAATAAAAAATCTCCAGTCTTTCGCCTGATCCACTGAGGTCAGAAAAGTAAAGGGGAACTGAGAGATCTAAAAGGCTGGCCAGTAAGGCTATGTGGATGTGTTAAAAAGGGGTACCAAGCTAGGGATACCAGATTAAATCTCCAGGCCTCGCCTTACACCAAGGTCAGGAAAGAAAGGGGAACCTGAGAGATCACCCTCAGTTGGAGGATGGATTAAAAGTGGGTAAATTAAAAATTGGTAACGGTTAATAAAGGAGGTACTAGTATTAAGTAAAAAAAAAAAAAGACAAAGGTATATGGAATGAAAATTTTTGTTTACATTTAAGTTCTATTTTGTGAGTCATCTCTAAAAACTTTTGGCCAAAAGCCTGGCCTCTCTACCTTACATCTACAGAGTTACAAGGAGTAGGTACGGCTGTACCCCATGACTGTAGCTCAAATGGAGAAATGATAAAAACATATAGGACTTTTTAACCTTTTTAGTTCAAGGATTGGCTGGAGTTGTTCTTTTACATAGATTTCAATTAAGGGAGTTTCATTACAACAGACTAATCATGACCTAGGGAAAAAGGATGACTAAAAGATGCATGTATGTTCTAAATGTATGGTGTGGCCACACCGGTATGTATGAAATGTGATTGTAAATGCGTGAGTGTAAACTACTTATATGATTAAAAGGATACTTAAATCCCTTCAAAAATAGTTAAGAAGCTACCTAGATTGCTTTAAATATAGCCAAAAGAAACATCCAGCCAGTCTGTTAATGTTTTAACAAAAAAATTTAAGATACAAACGAGGCCTTGTCAGCTAGTGAGAGCTCTACAGGTTAGATTGGAAAAGACTACTCACAGACTTCAAATAATTTTAAAAACTTATTTGGACACAGTATAGTTTACAATCTTTAAGTGATTTTCAAAAGTTTTTAAAAAATATCCAAAGGATATGTCCTTTTTAATGGACATCTACAAATAATCTAAGTAGTAATCCCAATTTACCTAGATAGTTAACCAAGGAGGGTAGACAAATCCTTCTACTGTTATGGTCCAACTTCAACAGTTCAAAAAAAATTTTTTTTTTAAAATAAAAAAGGGGGAATAATGTCCCCAGTCCCCACATGACTCATCAAATAATACACTCCTCATTTAAAAATTTTATAATGTGAATGCCAGTGAGCTTCAGACAGATTCTGGCATGATGAAACTTGAGCAACCATTGCTCAGGTCAAATGGAGACAGCCATACACTAGACAGTGGAGAAGACCCTAATTTGGGGTCGAGGGCATGTTTGTGTTTTCTTGCAGGAAAAGAATAAAGCTTCGACAGCTGTCAGACCATTTAGTGAGATGCATGGAGCAGAGAAAAACTGGACCTGAGACCATGGGAGCCTACCTAAGCCAGTTTGAGTGAGATCTCCTAAATCAGTGTTCCTGATTCTTGATGTCATCGAATCTAGAGCCCAAGAAAGAGAGAAAACAGTCGGTTTGAGATTTCCAATTTCTCAACAGACCTGCTGCATCAACCTTCCGGACCCATGAGTTTTCATCGTAAAGCCAACAGAGAAAAAAGGACCCATTTAAAGCATTTAGACATTGGTATGGACTATGATGAGTGGCAAAAGCCTCTTTTCAGTATTTGAACAGGACATGGTCACTTGAAATATCAGACTTGATGGTTCCTATTTCTGGAATCACGACTAGGCCAGTGTATTTTTCTGGAAAAATACAACTTGTCCTAATGCGACAACTATTGTTCATATTTTTCGTAATGCTACATGTGTAACATCAATGATTGTGCCCAATGTATCTGTGCAAGTACACTTTCTAAATGCTTTCCTGAGCAGATCTTAAAACGATTGGAAACTTTATCAAATTGTAAATGTAAATCACATGCGGGTTACCCTTGTAACAGACAAAGGCTGGTAGAATGTTATGGCCCAGATCTGGTGATGGGTATGGTAATGGAGAGGCACTATGTCAATGGGGGTCCTGAAAATGGTGGCAGTGGCGGTAGACATTCTGGCTTTATGCCGAGCTCAAACGTGCCTTGTTCCAGAGACAAGAGATCTGTAACCAAGTATTACTTAGCTTAGCCCATGGCAATCCCGATAGCCATAAAGGTTGGTTACAGATGATTTAAGGTTGGGGTATCTCCGATGACGGGCAACCTGTGGGGAAGACCCCTCCCACCTAAAACAGGGGTTCAAGGTCCCCCAAAGACAAAAAAGGGAGGGTGACCCTACTTGACCTAAGCCAGGAGTGCCTCATTTAAAAATAAAAAGGGGTGAATTGTGGGAACACCAGACCTTGAGCAGAGACCCACTTCCCCTTCTGCCTGGGAGTAGGCAGCTGTAAGACAATGTTTAGTAAAAACATGTTTACTAAAAACGATACAATAAGTTCCTGGCCACTTCCCCTTCTGCCTGGGAGTAGGCAGCTGTAAGACAATGTTTAGTAAAAACATGTTTACTAAAAATGATACAATAAGTTCCTGGGAAAGGCCTTCCCACAGAAACCGCCCTGACCTCGACCTTGTCCAAAGACTAACCGCACCTTCAAAAACCCACACACATCCACCTCTGGTGTCAGAGCAGAACCAGCCAGGGGAGAGGAGAGAGCAGAAGCTTCTCTGGTGGGAGCTTTTCTTAGGAAGTTTTTCTTAAACCTTTTTGGAGCCTGTTTAAAGTTCTCTTTATATCGTTGAACGAGTCTCTGTGTTGTCAATCCCCGACACCCTCCGCACGTTCTGGGACACAGGCCACGCAGCAGACGTGACAGAGTGGCTTGAAGAAGCTACAAACATCGAGGCGTCTGCTCATGTAGTAACACTCACAGTCACACCCATGCTGTGGTACCCATGTGATGACACCCATGCACACTGTTGATACAAGCAGGGAGGTCTCTTATTTGTGAACTCTGCATGAGGAGCCCGGAAGCAGAGATCTAACACTCTTCCAATGTTATATTCATTTCTGGGGGAAAATATAAGTACAGTTGGCAATCAGGGAAATGTATGACGTGATAAAGCAGAACATGCTTGTCTCATGTAAACCAGAAATAGCCATGACTAAATCTGAGGCTGTCTTCCAAAGCACCTGAGTTGATATCTAGTGATGTTTGTGTGGAAGTCCACAGAGTAGAGTCAGATATAAGATACATACATAATACAGATATAAGATACCAGGTAGATGGTCTGCTGTGACAGTGTGAAAACTGGAGTTCGAAGCCATAGCACCCACACAAATGTCAGGCAGGAATGGTAGCATGACTTAATCCCAGCACACAAGAAGCAGAGACAGGGGATCCCTTGCAAGATGGATAGCTAGACTAATTGAATAGGTTAGCCGTAGGTTGATGTGAGAGACTGTACCTCAACCTATAAGGTGGAGAGCAAATGAGGAAGACATCCATGACCTTCAAAGCACATATGAATGCAAACCTGAACACACATATGCACTCATACATGTGAAAATACCTAAAAGGAAAACATACATCATACATACATGTGCAGAAATTAAGAAATTTAGAAAGATGAGTAGGCTGTTGTCTCTCTCTCTCTCTCTCTCTCTCTCTCTCTCTCTCTCCATGTGTGTGTGTGTGTGTGTATGTGTGTGTGTGTGTGTGTGTGTGGTACATCTTGGAAAGTGACACTTTTTATTTCTGTGTGTGTGTGGGGGGGTACATCTCAGAAAGTGACACTTTTTATTTTTTACTTTCTAAATTGTGAACCACGGTAAATTTAAAAATGTAGACCCCTTTTATGAATTCTTTGTCTTCTTTGATCAAGGGGTTTGACCTGCAAATGGAAAGTTGTTTGGTGCTTCATAATGCCTGTATAGGGGTTGTTTGGTCTATGATGGTTAGGCAGGCAGCCACACCCAGTTCTTCCTGGTGCTATGGTTACTGAGTTCTGCAGCACATCATGTGGGTGTGGGTGGCCTCTGGCCTGTGGTAGAGACATTTGAGAAGCATTCCTCATTCTGTTATTTGACTGTTTTGTGTAGAAATGCATTTGGTAGTGTGGACTGTATGTGGTGATGGGGCTCTTTTTTGTATGCTTTAATTATCAGATATTAATTATATATAATAGTGGGCTTCATTTATCATTTTCACACACACAATATATTTTGATCACATCACTCATTGTGTCTCTTGACTCCCTTT